TTTCAGTAATTAAAAACTAATAGTGAAAGGGCAGAATAAGGTGCTGGCCAGCTAAGGGGGAAAATACTTGAACTACGATTAACACAAAAAAAATATTGTATAAAATAATACACATATAAAATACAAATATAAGAACCGTGACGGCGGCTGCAGTCCCGGTTGAACGGGTGATGGTGGGCAGGTAACGGTAGAAGTGTAAGCAGGTGACAGAAGACGGTAGACGGTGAACAAAATGACAGGTAGATGGTATGCGAATGACAGGTGACGGTGAAACAGGTAACAGGTGACGATGAAAATGATAACGATTTTGCCCCGCTGGTAGGTACTTCTGGAACAACTGCGGTCTACGTAGTCTACGGAGAAAAAATCACGCACCAAAAGACGACAGCGATCTACGTCGGCCGTCGGCGGTTCGGTCACTGAAGAAAAACAAAACTGGTCTGTGTGGGTATACGGTATATTATCATTTATCACCGATAAGGTCCGTCGGGACGGGGGTATCGGTGGACCAATGTAACGGTGGGAAAAATGACGGCAGCTTTTATATAACGATATCTCAAACATACCGCCCACCTGAAGGCACCTGGCCTTCACAATACGAGTGGTAAGCGACACAATTTTACCACCGGACGTTTGATCACCGTTCGATTTGCAGTTCGAACTGTAGCAACGCGTATAATCTTATCCTCTCCTGGGTGTACTTCCATCACCCGTGCAGTCTTCCAGGTAAGAGGTGGTGTCGGCTCTTTTATAATTACTAGGTCCCCAGGTTCAAGATTGCATTGGTCTTTGCCCCATTTTGAGCGAACTGAAATTGTATGCAGATATTCTTTTGACCATCGATCCCAAAAATGTTTTTGTATGTGTTGCACAAGTGTCCATCGTTGTTATAACGTAAGTCTAGGTCCCGGGTGTAGTGGATCTGGGACTGGGACAGTTACAAGGGGTTCCATCGTGAGAAAATGTTCGGCAGTGAGGGTTTGAAGATCGTTTGGATCTGACGACATAGCTCCTAATGGACGTGAATTGAGAATTGCTTCTATGCGGTGGAAAACGGTGTTCAGTTCTTCATAAGTCAATACCTGTTCCTGAATTGTACGGTGTAACAGGGTCTTGGCGAATTTAACGGCCGCTTCCCACAGCCCGTCCATATGCAGAGCAGCTGGGGGATTCAGGTGCCATTGGATGTGCACATTGCTTATACCCGCGGTTATTTCGGAGGAGCTGAGGAGCCGCTTGACGTCTTCCATATAGTTTTTCGCTTCACCCTGAGAAGACCCTCTTCCGAATCTAGATAAGTTCCAAGTAATAGCAGTTTATGGGTACAGGGCTCTCCTGACGTGAGACGTTTCAAATCCTCTGCAAAATGTACCTTTTGGACCCATCGGATTAGGGCGTGCAATGCTTCCTCCTTTTCCTTTGCTCCAGGTGGTTTGGAATGATCAAGAGAGATGGGTCGGTGTGACAGATTTCTTCGAAATCGTAACCAAAAGGCGGTGAGACGTAGAACTTTCGGAAGTTCTACTGATGCATACAATAGTTGACATTCCTCTACGGGCTTAGTGATTAAAAGAGCAAGTTGTTTCTCCTTGACTTGATGTTCCATCTTATCCAGACACGTGATAGGTGTCACCGGAGGCCAGGTATTTGTTGGTTGGGTGAGAAATACTGAACCGCCCCACCAAATCTGATGGTCCACTAGCTCTTTTGGGGTTACACCTCGGGACGCACAGTCTGCAGGGTTGTGTGCTGTAGTTACGTGTCTCCAAATCTTCGGGGACGTCATGTGCTGAATTTTGGCAACTCGATTTGCCACAAACGTCTTGAGTTTTGCTGTAGGTGTCTGAATCCAAGCCAAGACTACGGTTGAATCGGACCATGCAGTCGTGGCTTCAATCGGAATGGCATTTAGGTTGGTACTGATATGTTCCAGACAGCGAGCAAGTAATACCGCCCCACATAACTCAAGTCGTGGAATTGAAAGCCTTTTTTTTTCCGGAGCCACCTTAGACTTTCCCATTAACAGTTGGCAGTGACTGATGCCATTTGGTTCTCGCGCTAAAAGATATACCGCGGCGGCGTAAGCGTTTTCTGAGCTATCGCAAAATCCGTGGATTTCATACATAGCTCCAGGTGTAGTTGCTCGACGCCGTATCCGAATAGATCCAATTAGTGGCAATTATTCGTGGTAACGTGTCCAAGCATCGATGGCGTCGTCAGGTATTCTCTCACCCCACCCCACCCCAATTGACCACAAATACTTCATCAGTCGTTTGAGATTGGTAATGACTGGAGTGAGGAGGCCGATGGGGTCATAAATTCGGGCTATCTCCGAATGAATAGCTCGTTTGGTAAAACGCACGGGATTCGGTCGGTATTGGTAGGACAACATATCCAGATTAGGTTCCCATTTTAGACCAAGAACCTTGGTGTAATCTGACTGCGGTTCATCGAAGGTAAAATTATCGGTTTTACGATGTTCAATCGGAACGGCCTCTAATAATGCGGGTGAATTGCTGGACCACTTTCGGAGCTCAAACTTCCCACGCTCAAATACTTTTATAACCTCTTGTTGGAGTTTGAGAGCCTCTTCTTCCGAGTCGGCTCCGGTAACGACATCGTCCACGTAGAGGTCTTGATATATGACATTTTGCACATTAGGGTATGCATTGGCTTCATCCTCAGCTAATTGATGTAATGTTCTAATTGCAAGGAATGGAGATGATCGTTGGCCAAATGTAACAGTGGACATTTTGTACGTCTGAACAGGGTCCGAGGGCTGGAATCGGAAAAGAAGGCGTTGGTATGGTCTATGTTTTGGAGTGACAAAAATCTGCTGGAACATCTGCTTGATATCGGTGGTGAACACTACTGCGTGCAAACCAAAACGTAAAATGATTCCTGGTAGATCCTGTTGAAGTTTGGGCCCCATAAACAAGTAATCATTTAGCGATTTTCCATTTGAAGATAGGGCTGACGCATCGTAAACAACACGGAGTTTGGTAGTCGAACTTCCAGGTTTCACTACACCGTGGTGTGGTATGTAAAAATATGTGTTATCAATGTCCTCAGTGTTGTCTACATAACTCATATGTCCGGAATCTAAATAATCTTGCATGGCCCCGTTATAATCCTGTCTATGCTCCGTGGATTTTGAAAGCCTAGATTCCAGATGTATGAGCCGTGTGTGTGCTAGATGGTATGATTCCCCAATAGGAGGTGGATCATGGGTGAATGGCAGATGTACTATATATCGACCATCCGCCTGTCGAGTAGTAGTGGTACGATAGATCTCTTCGCATTTTTGTTCTGCTGGACTGGTCTTTTCCACCGTAGGGAGCTCTTTAATTTCCCAAAACTTGCGCAGTAATTGGTCGATGGGGTATATAGACGCGAAAAGTGAAGTCGTACTATTTGACGGATTTGGGGCTGACCGTCCCATGAGCACCCATCCAAACACGGTTTTAAGCGCCACAGGTTGATTGACGGTACCTTCTCGTCGATCTCCACTTACGATATAAGGAAAAACATCCGCTCCAAGGAGAATGTCTATCGGTAGTGGTTTGTCATATCGTGGATCGGCTAGGTCCAGACCCTGCACATGCGCCCACTCAGTCTTCACGACGCGTTCAGACGGAATGAGTCCGGTGATGCGAGGTAGTATGAAAGTCTCAACTATGAAGAGAGGCGTGTCACGCCTTACGGGTCTGATGATAATTTGAGTACGTGATTTTATCGGCGGTACCTGTAGGCCGGCCATAGCTTGCACAGCTACACTGCATTTATCCCATGTCACCCCTAACCTGTTACGACAATGTTCCGTGAGGAAACTGCTTTAACTGCCGCTGTCTAAAAGCGCTCGTGCCTCTTGATATTGTCCACTACTATCCTGTACTAATACAGCCATCGTAGACATAAGTACACAGGAGTTGACCCTCTTGTCTTATGAAAACATACTATTCACGGTGGTAGTGGGTTGGGGTTCGGTGGTATTCACTATGGTCGTTGGTTGAGCGTCTGAGGTATTTTCAAAATGCAATAGGGAATGATGTCGCCCCTTGCATTTCAAACATACTCGGGTGTGTTTACACTGACTCACTGGGTGCTCGCTAAAACACAAGAAACAACGCCTAAGGTCTTTAATTATTTGGTACCGATCCTTTGGTGTTTTCTCTTTGAATACCGTGCAAGCAATCAACAGGTGACCAGGTGTTGTATTGCAGACCTGACAGGTGAATTGCCTTCTATTCTCACGTGAGTCTGGCTTTCCGGCATGCAACGTGACAGTTTTCCCATATGGTTTCTTATTTGGTTTTTCCTGTTCTTTGCCAGACTGGCCAGCGATAGCAGCACTGCAAAATTTTGATAAGAACATGGTAAAGTTGTTCATACTTGGATCATCCGCGGTATCTACTATTAATTCCCATTGAGCACGAAGTTGAGAGTCCAACTTTAATTAATAATAAATGTAGCAAGATTGATCCACGGAGTAATTTTGGTTTGCGAGCGCTCCAACCGACTCCGTGATCGTGTTCAGCATCTGGCGGATAGATTTAGCATCACCGAACATTGCTTTTGGCATCGTCCAAAGTTGGTTCAAGTGACTCTGTGCAATTATCCGACGGTTTGCATAGCGTTTGTCCAAAACTGTTAGCGCTAGAGTGTAGTTATCGTCACTTAGCATCAAATTGGATATAAGCGCTAACGGCTGGCCTTTCAGGTAACTTTTTAAATAGCTGAACTTAAGAACAGGTGGCAGGTTAGTATTGTTGTGTACCGCAATGTCAAATAAATTTCTAAAACTGGTATATTGTTTCGGATCTCCTCCAAACCTCGGTATTGATAGCTTTTCCAGTGGTATCACATCGCGTCTATCTCGGTTTTGAGATGTACTGATAAAGGTTTCGTCGGCATTTGGATGTTGAAGTAAAACTGGTATATGCTCATCTGCCGCAATCATCACTTCAAAATACACTTCGTCAAACTTATCACGAATGTCCTCAGGTGAACTGCATATCTTCTTCGGACTTTTGGTCTTTTTCCGGTTTCCCGAGTTGTTTTATTACAATCGAAAGCTGTTCCTCGAATTCCTCCTTAATCCGCGGAACGGTGGCATACATCATTCGAAACTTGGTTTTGTCCAACCTGGTGACCGGTATCTTGTTTAGCGCATCTCCAGCGTCTCGTACTCGCATGATTCGTTTCTGAATGTCCGAGAGGCGAATTTTTGGTTCTTCAAAAACACCCATGACGCTATATTCCCCTCCACAAAAACGTACGCGCAATTCAAGCCAGTAGGTACAACCAAGAATATACCAAAATAACAAAGCAGTTAAAATATATTTTTTTTTTGTTATTTGAGATTTGCGTCACCCTCTATATGTATACGGTATGTAAATTTCCAGAAATAAGCTAATTTTTTACCTTGACTGAGTTCTTGCGAAGACGACACCTCTTATCTACTACGCTATAATGGTCGTCACGGCAGCGTCGTACGCCTGCCTGTCAAAGTCCAAATTCTATACTATGCAACGCTTCGTTAATTATAATAATGCAAATAACCTACTTTTTATTATATTTACTATAGTACACATAAATCTCTGTAATTATGTTAATATTGAAATATTGGTGATTTTTCGGTAAAAGACCGCTAGTAATATTTTCACTTAGAATAATATATTATATATATCCTAGGCTCGATGGACCAATGTTACGGTGAATAGTGGACTGTATTGGAGTTGAACGGTGATGGTAGGTACTTCGGAGTAGTATGGTATCAAAAACAATGCGATTGGTTATAATTTCAATAACCGGGTTGTGGCCTACTATTTTAACCAAATTTCAGTAATTAAAAACTAATGGTAAAAGGGCACAATAAGGTGCTGGCCAGCTAAGGGGGAAAATACTTAAACTACGATTAACATAAAAAAAATATAGTATAAAATAATACACATATAAAATACAAATATAAGAACCGTGACGGCGGAAAACAACACCAAGAATACAACAACCGAAGTCCAGATCACCAACGACGTCCAAGAAGCCCATAACGTGTCCACTGAATCTGAACATTTCTTAACCTCGGACGATGAAATTACATCCATTCATACAAATTCCAACTCTGAAAATAGCAACCATGACTCCTCCATTGAGGATACCGAATCTAAACTCTCAAGCAATATCAATAACCCTACTCAACCGGAAAAAATACCAACTCTATCAAGACCAAAAGAATCCCCCCAATTTTCCTGTCAATAAAACCTGAATATCCGTGGCGCGTAGTAGCAAAACAACTTTACAATAACCCTGCTCATGCATAAGTGGAAGCCAAAACTACGTCAAAACCAAATGAAATCCAACTAAACTGCCATGACGAAACTAGTTTCTGCTCCGTACAATCCTTCCTAGTTTCAATTCAAAACAAAGTAGGTTACCACACCCACGCTCTTCCAAGCCAACGAAACCTAAAAATTGTTATTAAAGGAATCCCACTAGATATAACCAACCAGGAAATAACCGAAGAACTCGAACTCAATGGTTTCGAACCCACGTTTATCCGAGCATTCTTCAAAAATGGTCACAGAATCCCGCTTCATATGATTACTCTAGCCAATATCGATCAAGCCAAAGAAATTTACCAATTAACCAAACTCTTCTTTGTCAACGTTAAGATCGAGCCATATAGATCATCTGGACCGGCACAATGCTATAAATGTCAAAACTTTGGCCACTCTTCTCTTCAATGCGGTCACTCGGCACGATGCGTAAAATGCGGTGACGCCCACGCATCCAGATCATTTACCAAACCACCTGACGTGTCACCCAAATGCTGCAACTGTGGGGAAAACCATACTGCAAACTATCGAGGATGCTCCTTCTACACAAACCTACGAAACAAAAAGAACCCCAAAACAGAAACCCACCAAGTAACTCCAATCATCCTACAATCAATGATTCTCCGCCTGTACAAAATCCAATCATCTTACCAAGCAACCCATCACCTCAAATTCACTCCAAAAAATCATTTGCTGAAGTTACCTGTGCTTAAAAACTACCTTTGTCTGAGCCTTCAATCACTGTCTCCAAAGTACTACAAATAATACACAGACTTCTAACATACGCACAGAAATGTAAGGATCTCACGACCAAGGATTCTATCATTAACACAATCATGTCAATCATCTCAAAAATACCGACCCAAAATGAATAACTTAAATATTCTTTTTTGGAACTGCAATGGTATAAAACATAAAATCAATGAACTACAAGTATTCGCACGACTAAACAACATCCACATCATCCTCTTACAATAAACTAGATTAAATCCATCAACCATTCTCAAAATACCAAATTACTTCACCTACAGACAAGATCACCCACTTAGACCCAGATCTCCACCAGCTGGTGGCACTGCTATACTTATACGTACATAACCATGAAGTCTTGAATACTTCTCTTGACTCAACCACAGTTACGATCAAGCTCGGTAGTGAACAAATTCCTTATCACATCTATGTACAAAAGCCCAAATACTCCCTTACAAACAAATGATCTGGACATCATAACCAACCACGGAGGCCTCTTTTTAGCGGCAGGAGACTTAAATGCAAAAAACCAGTCCTGGAACTGCCGCACCACAAACCAGGCAGGCAAAACTCTTCTACAGCACATGGAATCGTACAACACCTACTAAATCTGTGCACCAGACTCTCCAACACATCACTCTTACAATCCACAACACAGGCCCGAAATATTGGACATCGCACTTGCAAACCTTCCCTATAGTGAACTCACCCTAACCAACCATAACGAGCTAACCTCTGACCACAATCCGATTGTAATGACCATAAGCGACTCTCCCATAACAAGCAACCCTCCAGCAGCCAAGAAGAGGATAAACTGGCAAAAATTCAAACAAGTACTACTGCGTAATTATCCTAAAAAGATAATGAACTTGAAAAATCCTCCAGAAATTGATAACGAGGTCCTACTCATTACCTCATCAATCCAATCAGCAATGACGGAATGTTCTTATACTGCAAACCAAACCCAAGTCTCTGAGCCCCTCCCACCCAGGATTTTACAAGAGATCACCATCAAACGGAACCTTAGGAAAGACTGGCAACGTACAAGGGACCCAGCAGTCAAGACTATGCTAAATTCTCAAATATAGTACGTCAGAAACCTCCTGAAGGAACACCGCCAATCAACATGGGACAAATTCACAAGCACACTCAACTTCCAAGACCGTTCCCTATATAAATTAAATCGTCGTCTACTCCACAAAAAACCAGCAATTGCTCCATTGAAATCTATCTCTGGCCAAAAATTCTATGATACCAAATCCAAACTAGAACTATTCGCCGACACAATGAAAGAGCAGTTCACTCTCAACCAGGGGACCGACCTCCCAGAAGTCACATACTCAATTGAAGAGCTCAATAGAAATACAACCAAATCAACTCTATTCTCTTCCCCCAAGGAAATATGGGAAATAATAAAAAATTTACCACCCGGCAAAGCTTCAGGCTGCGACAACATACCAAATACTGCACTCAAACACCTCCCAGCCCCTGCTGTTGTTAGTTTAAATAATATTTTCACCGCTTGCCTCAGGCATTCTCATTTTCCTAAACCATGGAAAACTGCTTCAGTAGTTATGATCCCCAAACCCTACAAAGATCACAGTTTAGCAAATAACTATAGGCCAATATCATTACTTACTACAATGTCCAAAGTATTCGAGAAGGTGCTTCAAAATCTCCTCACGAAACACATCAAGCCGAGAGCTGAACAAAATGCGTTCAGACATGGTCATTCGACGACAACCCAACTTTCTAAACTCATAGACGATCTGGTAATCAATACTAACAACAACAGACACACCGCAGCCATATTCCTAGACATGGAAAAAGCTTTTGACAAAGTTTGGCACGATGGACTAATCCACAAACTTCACACAATGTCTACAGTCCCCACACCTCTAGTAAAAATCATACAATCCTTCTTGTCAGACCGAACCTTCAGAATCAAGATCTCTGACCATACATCTACAGAAAGAACGATAGAAGCAGGTGTCCCTCAAGGCTCGTGTCTCTCCCCCCTTCTATACAGCCATTATATAAACGATCTCCCAACCACTCCATATGTGTCCACGTCCCTATTCGCTGACGACACGATGTTTTATTCCAGCAACACTTCTGAGAATATAGCAATAATCCGTTTACAGAGACAAGTAACAACAACAACTGACTGGATTTTAAAATGGCGTCTTAAACTTAACACCCAGAAAACAGTTTCAGTACTCTTCGGGAGTAGCCGAAATGCGCCCAAACGCCAAATCAAAATTCAAGATACCCCAATTACTTGGAAAAACAGCGCTACTTACCTCGGTGTCATCCTCGACAAACCACTTCGGCTTCACCAACACGTGAAATCTTGCGTTCACAGGGCCAAACAAACCAGAGATGCACTATACCCAATTTTAAATAGTAAATCCCGAATACCAATGTCAACCCGTCTCACCATATACAGGATATACATAAGGCCAATTCTTCTATACGCTGCTACAGCCTGGGGCCCACTAATAAGCGAGTCAAATTGGAGGAATATCGAGGCTGTCCAAAACGTGGCTATTCGAACAATCACTGGTGCCCACTTCCTCACCAGGAACAATAAAATTCTCCACCCGCCCATCAGTTCAATCCGCAGTGAAGTAGAGAGAGCTACAAAAATATTCCTGCATCGAAACTCTCAATCGTCATTCTCTCACATAAGGGAGCGAGGTACATTACCCGCCCCTCAAATAATTTCACGCCGTCCTCGACTTCTAACATTTACACAATAAGACATGAACCTCAGTCATTAGTAAAAGGCAAACTGCCTGAGACTAAATAAAACAGCTTCGGCTTTCATTCAAAGCAAAGCAAGCGTGACGGCGGCTGCAGTCCCGGTTGAACGGGTGATGGTGGGCAGGTAACGGTAGAAGTGTAAGCAGGTGACAGAAAACGGTAGACGGTGAACAAAATGACAGGTAGATGGTATGCGAATGACAGGTGACGGTGAAACAGGTAACAGGTGACGATGAAAACGATAACGATTTTGCCCCGCTGGTACTTCTGGAACAACTACGGAGAAAAAATCACGCACCAAAAGACGACAGCGATCTACGTCGGCCGTCGGCGGTTCGGTCACTGAAGAAAAACAAAACTGGTCTGTGTGGGTATACGTTATATTATCACAGAATAGATGAAATCAGAATGGACACTCTCCAAAAATTTACATGGGCTCTTATGGCAGACACGGTATTTTAGCCTAAAGTGTCACCAGTGTTACCAAAAAGTACAGTAAAAAAAATATTGTATACAATTTTATTATTTCGACCGAATTGGCGGTTGCTTTGAAAATTCTGTAATTAACGATATAATATACTTTCAATGGATAATGTATATTTCATTAATAAGAGTAATAATTAATATTTATATTTAATATTTCATTAATATAAAAATATGAAAGTAACTGCAGGTTTATGTATGGCAGTTAATGCGATCTACAGATATGATATTCGACCTTCCAATAAAAGTAATTCCCTTATCGCGGTAATTGTCTTCACGGAAATCCCGTGGTATTTTTTTTGTACTCCCTATACAAATTAAATTACTACTGACAAATATAGTATAATGTATATTTGTACAGTTACTCCAGTAGTCCAGTGACTGAGTGACAGTGTAGTATGTGATGTAATTGAGTGCGCATGTCGTTTATTTATTGAATTATTTACTTTTACATCTTTTTATGTTTAAACGAGAATTATTATAATGATATTTACAAAACTAGACGGGTTAGGTATGTATAATATTTAAATTAGATACAATATTAAACAAAATGTACTTCTCTACTATCAAATATACAGTGAGTGGCGGAGATTGCGCCACTAAAACTATTTAATTATTTCACTAACCAACTTCAATTTGGTGAACATTTAAAAGTCAGCTGAATTGTAAACTAAATATATTTATGCAAGTCACATAAATCATTAAATCCGGATCCAATTCAAAACTTTTGCAGTCTTTAATACAGCATTTACCTATTCTAAAGCGTTTATTTAGGAAGTCCATAATCAATGGTTGTGGCGTAAAATTACAAGAATTTCAAAATATCTAATTAAGTATTAACCGAGGACTTGTAGAGGTCTCGTGACTCGTGTTCACTTTTTAAGAAATATGAAAAGTGAATTTTTAAATTTTTTACAAACCAGCCTTAAAAAAGCAGTTTGTTTACGAACAAATCCAAATAAAGCGGATGCTCAGAGTGGTCTTTTGCTACATAAATCAAAAAATAAAAATAGTTTTATTATATGGCTACACTGGTGGCACTTCAGTTCTTATCATGGTTTTTGGAGAGTGTCCATTCTGATTTCATCTATTCTGTGATATTATCACCGATAAGGTCCATCGGGACGGGGGTATCGGTGGACCAATGTAACGGTGGGAAAAATGACTGCAGCTTTTATATAACGATATCTCAAACAATATAGGTAACTATCTACAGGATAGTCGTACCTACATACCTTCTGCACGTCTACACAGCATTATTCAATGTAACCCAGCCAATACTATGTTATCCTCTCTATGTAATACTGCAGTATGATGTAGTTAGAAATTAATAAATATCGTTATTATAATTAATTAACTCACCATTAAATAGAGTATACTTAGTTATCAAAACTATAACATTTTAAAATTATATAAAACTTTACTTGAGTGTTGAAACAATATTGATTCATTGAATGGTTCACTAAATATCAAACGAACCAACCATGTGCCACTAAATTATTTTTTAAATACCAAAATATTGATTTATGAAATATTTACCTAGGGATAGTCTGCATTTTATATTTATTCAATCAGGTATAGAGGTATTGGTCTAACAAACTGGTACTTTCACAGTCTAATGGTTTACTAAATATAAAATAAAACGTTATGCCTAGTACCTATATTTTTAAGACTTAGTAAACAACTAACAATATAGTTTGTTATACGCATATACCTTATACTAATATACAGTGTGATCACTATTTTAGGTAATACTGAATATCTCAGATGGGTGACTTTGTATTAAAATGGGGTTTTCGGGAGGTGATAGGGAGCACTTAAATACATATTTCAGACCAGTTCCAATTTTTTTTAGCTCACTCGGTACTCGCATTCGCAATACGACTTACTTTTTTTAAATGACAACCCCAGTTTTTTTCTGCAGATTCAGGTGGAGTATTTTTTTTAAAACATTTATTGTATAATTTTTAATAATTTTTCTATTTTCAAAACTGACAAAGTTAGAGTAAGTCAAAAATTGGATTTATGCATAATTTGTGTTTAATGATATTTTCATTTATAACCACTGTAAATAATAAAATAAGTGCCCAATATGGGGGACAGAGTGGCCGAGTGGACTAAGGCGTCGGTTGTGACACGCACCGTCGCCGGTTCGAACTCGGCCACGGGCGGAATTTTTTCTGGTAGTTACGGTGTCCGGAGATAGAGGCCGACATGGTGACATCCCCACCCGGGCATAGCAGATACCTACGTGGCTACGTGTGTGTTTGTTTTGGCAAAATTTTTAAGTGGGCACCAGTAGGTACTTGCAATGCCCGGGTGGGGGTTTGTCACCATGTCGGCCTCCCTCTCTGGACACCGTGACTGCCAGAAGAAAAAAGCCGCCCGTGGCAGAGTTTGAATTGGCGACGGTGCGCATCACAACCGACGCCTTAGTCCGCTCGGCCACTCCGGCCACCCATTAAACATTTATTTGGCACTTATTTTATTATTTCAAGTGGTTATAAATGCAAAATTGCATTAAATACGTATTATGCATAAATCCAAATTTTGACTTACTCTAACTTGGTCAGTTAAAAATGTTTAAAAAAATTACTCTACCCGAATCTGCAGAAAAAATCTTAGGTTGTCCTTTAAAAAAAAAGTAAGTCGTATTGCGCATGCCGCGTACCGAGTGAGCTAAACATTTTAAATTGGTCTGAAAATATGTATTTAAGTGCTCCCTATCACTTCCCGAAAACCCCATTTCAATACAAAGTCACCCATCTTAGATATTCGGTGGTACCTAAAATCGTGATCACACTGTATATATAAGGTCTATGGTTATACGTTTGTTAATAATAATTATTAACTAGGTAGCGAATCTCATAAAAAAATTATTATAAAATAGGTATCTCAATTATTTTTTAGTTTTGTGTATTTATTCGACTTTCAAGGCTTGTACTTATTCTCGGAAGACCATATATCATAATGTAAGACTCCGAATAGATTTTACCCATAGACTAGGAGTTTCCCGAAAATTTTTTCCATGTAGATACCCAATAGTGAATTTTAAAATATTAGAATTATGCCGTTATGCTACTTTACATTATTTTATTAAATATTATTTTTTTGAATTCATCAAATTGACTTTAAAATGGAAATCAACGTCAATCAAACAGAGATTCTTAATTTATTGTTTTCTTGAAACGATTGGAATAATTGGTCAATATTCATTAAAGGAGTTCCAGTCGGTTTTATCAAAAGTCAAAACTAAGGTAAAAATGTCCAATCTAAACATATGAATATCGTTTATTTTGATATTTTTAAATATATTTGAATTCTGTCTCGTAAAATAAACTATAGGGGGCTGAATTCGATGAAAAAACTGGTTTATAGAACAAACAGCCAGACAAAACTAAAAGAATTTGGTTTGACGGATTTCAATTTTTAAAACTGATTTTTATTGATTACAAAGATTACTAGGTTTCCACCGAGTCGATTTTGAGTATCTATTTTTTAAGCTGCGATATCTATGAATAAAAATATGATATTTTTTATTTATATTAACACATTAATACGCATTATGAAACTAACAATAATTGGAATATTAAAAATCGCCTCGATCGCAAACAGTAGCGGATCTGAACCCCATTTAAGGAGGGGGCGAATTAGTATCATAGAATTTCAATATACACATATTAGTCAATAAACATCTGTTATATTTTTTTTTTATATATTATATGAAAAAAAATTAAACCTTATAAAAATTCAACAGTCTTTTATTCAATATTAAATAAGCAAATGTATTAATAATTTATTTGAGCAACAATTGTATGGTTCTTTTTTTACCAGCTGCAAATCTGTCAATGAACAATGAAAATAAAATATTCAGCACTCAATATTAAAATTGAGTTATTTACCACAGTGAATAAAATATTTAATTTATTTTACAAAAATGAATTGATAACAGATTTGATGGTAGGAAAAAAATCTCGGGGAAAAAAAAGTCTTAAGGATAATACGTCTGTTTTCTAAAGATAATATCTAATAATTATGTAATCATATAATAAGTAACTACTAAATACAAAACAGATAAAACAAAAATAATAGCTAATAATATTATGAAATTAAAAAAAAATATATATCATTCAATCCTAGTCAATAATATTATTAAAATATTATACATTTATACATCACTAAGTTAGAATAAGAAAAAAAAATATTACATAATTTTAAAAATCCTAGTTGTGTAAATTGTTATCGCTGTAACTTTTAAAAATTATTTTAAAGTTTTATGAACTTTTTTTGCCCCTAGACTATTTTTCCTTGAGACTTTTTTACCGGATACTTTTTTCCGGGACATTATATCAGGCACTTTTCCCCAACAGATTTATACGGGGCGGTGCAGCACGCTGCAGCACTGCGTGGCGGTTTACCCCCCCCTCAAATACGCCACTGAATTCGAAAATAGGTACCAAGTAAACTTGTTAATCAATCATAATCCGTTTTCAAAATTGAAATCTGTTAAACCAAATTCCTCCAGTTTTGTATAGCTTTTTTGATCTAAAGACTAAAAGTCACTTTTTTTTCATCGACTGGAGCCCTTTTAATGTCAAACATTGTTTAAGAATACACAATATAATATATAAATCTTTTAATTATATTAATTATGCTTAACATCATAAATATTTTAAGTTACTATTTGTTTATTAATTATTAATGAAAAATATTACCTTTACAATTATCTAAAAATAAAAAAGTGGGTAAGTGGATGTCGCTCTGCTGTACAATAGGTTATAAGTGAGGCAATGTATAATGGATTGTATTAAACTTGAATTCGATGATATAATATCATTGTATAAGAAAAACGATTCTGAGCGGAGACGGTTTGTCAGTTTGGATATTTTATACTGTAAGTTGAATTAAAATTATAATATTATTATTTTTTATTCGATTCTATGGTGATAAAAAAACGTTAGAAATTAAAATCCCACTTTTAGTGGTTTTTCGTAATTGGGCAGTGGCTTAAGGTTTTTCCCGTGGCATTAAAAAACTATTGAGAAAATCAAAAACGACCTCTCTAAAGTACCATATTGATCCAATTTGCTAAAAGATAAGGTAAGTTTCTATAATATGTTGAAATCGTAGAACTTCTTCTGGTAGAACTTATGTTAACAGGATAGAAAAAAAATATATATATATACCTTTGCAAAACCACTAGCTTCTTCGCACAGCACGGAATCTAAAATATTATTAGTTCATCTTGTCTATTTACTACAAATTATGATATAATCATTATCACATAATAAATGACTAAAAAAATGTTAATGTGCAGAAGACTTCATGTATCCTCTAAAATCAAAAAATATCCATTTTTAAAAATATCTTTAGATATTAATGACATTTAAATGATTGTTAGTGCCTACATGGCTACATCATAATCTTTTTTAGAATTAAAATCTAATAAATAGCATAAGTATATTAGGTTTTTTCGAAGGTTGTAACTTGTAATAACATAATAATAACTAGTTTCGAATTTTAAATTAATTAAATACAATTTTAAAAATCACCGCTGATAAATATCACCACAATACAAAAATATAGTACAAAATATGTAATCATTCTACATCAAATATCAATAAAATTATACGTACCTTTCAACCATGTATCTGGTTTACCAACAGAAGCAGGCATAATCCAACTTCCAATAACTAGAATAATTGTAAACGTTATAAAAATATTCTTATTAAAAATTATTTTGATTTAGTATAAGAAAATAATAATAAATAATTTGAAAGTTGAACTTTTAATAAAATAAGATAATATTTCTTGCTTATTTTTATAAGCGATATAATTGGTGGCCACTACTGCAATCTACTATCTCCTCAGCACAAAAAAAAAAATAATGTTTCCAACAAGTTGCTTATTTATTTATCATACCAGAGAATAATATTATTCTCCATATGTTGGAGTTCATACATGTGTGTATGTTACGCCGAATTTGTGAAATTGCTGATTTCATGAAATCGGCAGAAAAATTGCCGAATTCATGGAATCAGCATCGTTGTTGCAGAAAACGTGAAATCGGCAATTTTTCTGCTGATTTCATGAAATAGGCAAGCCAATTCTTAAAATATTATAAATAATTGTGTTGTACTCATGATCTTACATACAATGCTGGAGATGAATTAAATCTGATTGTAATAATAAAAACCTAAAGTTATAAAAATATACTTAGTTTTTATTTATATTTATATTATTATTTTTTATTTATTTTAATTAAGTGGAAGTAAATATTTACATTTATAAATTTTGACAACTACTGCCTGGGTGGCACGCCGAATTACACATCATGTCATTTTTCCTACATGTGCACTTTTTTGATGTGCAATTAGTACGGCAGGTACAACGTCGATATCCTTGTCCAGTCCCAACTGATCCTAATCGAACAAGTTCCCGTAACGAATATTCATTTGATTGAACGTCTGTTGTCGTTAAGGAACAGTACTTCGTAGCAGCCAAACTGTTCCGCTCCAGCCATGTGTTTAGAGTTCCTTCTTTGGTTGCTATACAAAATTTACCATCTTTTTCTTCCATTACAACTGAAAGAAGGTTGGCAGCATCTCCTCGCCCTCGATCTACCAACGGGATTGACACCAGAACATTGTCACCAACTTTTAAGGGAGGGAGAATGCCTTTGCCTCTCGTAAATATTTTAAATATTATTATTTTATTATATTTAATTGATTATTGCAACTAATAAACGCACTTTTCGAACCGCCACACACTGTTAACTATTTCAGCAGGTGAAACGAATAACTGAACGCTGAACATGTAGGTAGGAAATATTTGCCACATTATTTTATCAAAGCATTAAAAATGCCTTAGTAAGTAAGATAAAGCCACGCCGTACGCCAGTGGGGACCTAACCATCAGTAGCGTCTACCATCATAGGTAATAAAGATAATGATGTGGTTCAAATGGGTTCAAATATTGGTTATTTATATATCTATCACTATTCTTAATAAATTATGTTTGTAATAATGTGATACCGAATTCACGAAATCGGCAGAAAAAAGTATGCCTATTTCATGAAATCGGCAGAAAAAAGTATGCCTATTTCATGACATCGGCAGAAAAATTGCCAATTTCACGTTTTCTGCAACAACGATACTGATTCCATGTAATCGGCAATTTTTCTGCCGATTTCATGAAATCAGCAATTTCACAAATTCGGCGTAACATGTAAACTTCATAAACATTTTATTTTAATATGGAGTAAATAACACAACTTATAGGTACATATCTTGTACACCTGTATAATAATAATCTATGTTCACAGTAAAGGGGGTTTACACGACACGGTGTAGTGGAGTTAAACCAACTCCGTCCAAACACTATATCAATGTTATTATATTGTGAATCTTTAAAAACTTTCAAAACTTTAAAATGTCGGAACGATGCTGGTTTAGCAACTTTTCGATTTTTTATTTTTTTTTCAAAATGTGTATTAAAGGGTGCCTTTGAAGAATGAAAAAAATACCAGAAAAACTTCGTTTTGAAGTTATTGATGAAAAACTTCAAAAGCTAAATTGTTTTCGTAACGCGCTTTTTTTAAAAAAAAAATACCTAGAAATTAGAATTGAACATCGCTCCGACTAAAAAATCGAAAATATTCCCCGATTTTGTGTATACATACATAAATATTAATTTAAATAAAATTTGAATAAACAACTGCCTATGTCAAACTTTCTAAAAACATTCAAGATGAAGGATATTATTCAAAAGTCAATATTATAAGTTATAACTTATAAAAAACATGAAATCAAATTGATATCAAATCTGTAACCAATCAGCTGTAGCCCCCTACTTTCATACAATTTGTTTGAATAGCCTCCCCCTCACATATGTTTAAGAAAATAAAAAAAATATTTTTTTGGTCCATGAAACATTGAAACTTACTGCAAAAACAATTTGTATAGCCGTACAGAAACCGAACCCTAAAATAAAACATCGGCATCAGAATACCTACTAAACTTATGGGGGACCCTAACCTTAGTTAAATCAACCCAGTCTAAACACATTATCAATGTTATTATATTGTGAATCTTTAAATATTAATAAAATGTCGGAACGATTCTGGTTTAGCAACTTTTCGATTTTTTAAATTTTTTTTTTTCAAAATGTTTATTAATAAGGGTGCTTTTGAAGAATGTAAAAAAAAAGTAAAGTCCGGACAAACTTCGTTTTGAAGTTATTGATGAAAAACTTCAAAAACTTAATTGTTTTCGTAACGCGAATTTTAAAAAAAAAAAAATACCTAGAAATTAGAATTGAACATCGCTCCGACTATAAAATCGAAAATATTCTCCGATTTGCTAATCGTATGTAAAACCACCTTGGGCATCGGAATTAAACAAAGTAGTTAAAAAGCACACAATGTGCTAGCATTGCCACTAGCTCGCTGCACTGCGCTCGGACAAAAAAATCGAAAAAACACCAAACATGAGTTCCTCCGCCTAGCATTATTAAAGTAGTTTTGCGCACATGCGTATAAACGTAAATTTTCATATGTTCGTTATTTTGAATATGGACGCTTATACAAAAGCTATAATGGATTTAAGCTCATATTTTTTTTCTAGTTTCACTAATAACAACTTAAGAGGAACCTTATATTAAATGTACAAGTTTTTAACCGAACAAATACCATTTTATTGAGGTCCATGTCCCCGGCATTTTCCACTTTCTTTCATTGTATATGTTACCGTTAAAGTATTAAACCAGTTATTTTATAATTTAACGTAACATTCTAGTTAAAGTGTTTACATTCAAATTATATAAATACTTTATCTTGAAAATGCATACAATAACTAGTTATATTATAGAATTACAGATAATGAATCGTTAAAGTGTTTACATTTTAAATTAATAACTAGTTAAAGTGGATAATTGTGATTTGTGAATATAAGGGGAATATTATTAATATTAATTGATATTATAAATTATTCTAAAAAAATCTAATAAATCATAAAAATGAATAAACATTAAAAAACAACATTTCTACAACATTGGTTTTGAATCTATCTTAGTAATGTTTACAATTTTTTTTTATATTACCTCACAATGAATAAGGGGTGCGCCCCGTATACGCTTCCTCGCAGTGCACCCTGGTAACGAGTCGGTAACCTGTTATCGACTCGGCTAAAGTATACGGAATCTTGGTCAGCGGACTGTGCCTTCAGCATCTCCCGCTCAATGCAAGCAACACCAACAACAATTAACCAAAATAGCCCTTCTCAGGGCTCCACGACAAGGGATTCAACCCGCATTATGTAATTAAACGTAGAAGGCATCAGCAAAGCGAAATCCGAAGTACTAGAAATTCTTCTGTTAGAGCAAAACGTAGACATATTACTGATACAAGAAACACATACAAGTGATGAAGAACAACTTTCGAAGAGAGGTTTTATCAATGGATATACAGTAGCTGGAGCGACTTACCATAGTAAATATGGTACAGCAACTTATGTAAGGGAAAACCTAAAATGGAAATTTATACAGGCAACTGATTATAACAACATATTTATAATCCAAATAGAAATTAATAATCTGAGCGTTTCTAACATCTACAAACCACCGAACATTAGCTGGACATTACCCATGACTCTCAATATTCAACATCCCTCTGTAGTTATGGGTGATTTCAATAGTCACCATACTACATGGGGATATAATGACTCAGACAAAAACGGAGAAGATCTTACACAATGGTCCGAAGCCGAAGACTTAACACTCATCTACGATGCAAAATCAAGAGGTACATTTCACTCAGCGCGATGGAATCGAGATTACAACCCCGACCTGTGTTTCGTCTCTAAAGATGAAGAAGGGAATCCTCTAGAGTTACACAGAAATGTTCTAACAGATTTTCCGCACTCCCAACACAGACCAGTTGTCATTGAAATAGGCATCGATATCCACTATATTAACTCGATACCTAAACCAAGGTGGAATTTTCAAAAAGCAAACTGGCCTGCATTTACGAAAACTCTCGATGATAGCGTACGCTGGATACCTCCTACCTATGAAAATTACCATCGCTTCTCTAAACTGATAATTAGCACAGCCAAAAAGTCTATCCCAAGGGGGTAAGAAAAACCTATATCCCTGGTTTTAACGGAGAGTGCCAACAACTATATACTAGGTATACAGAGACTAATAGTAATGATGATGCAACGAAATTAATACAAGCTTTAAATAATCAACGCAAAGAAAAATAGCTGAACCTTGTTGAACATACTGACTTCAAACACTCAAGTCGGAAAGCATGGGCCCTTCTCCGAAAGCTTGGTGCAAACGGCCAACATAGTGCAAATAAAGAAAATCAAGTCAACCCCAATCTCGTAGCTAATCGTATTGTAAACCTATCTAGAGCAACACCAGATAAACAAGCCACCAAGGATATAAAAGCAAAACTTAGAAACCTAAAAATCGTATCCAACGAAAGGACAGCACAAGCAGCCCCATTTTCGATTGATGAAATAAGTAAAGCGATACTTATGATAAAACCTGGAAAAGCGGCAGGACTCGACAATATTTACCCTGAATTTATAAAACATACTGGACCTAGAGCAAGAGCGTGGCTTATGAAGTTCTTTAATAATATACTTACAAATACAAAAATCCCTACAATTTTTAAAAAATCAAAAATCATAGCAATCTGCAAACCCGGAAAGCCTACCAACGCAGCAGATAGTTATCGTCCAATCGCTCTCCTTAGTGTGTGTTATAAATTATTGGAACGCCTTGTACTGAACCGAATTGGACCTATCATTGACGCCATTACACCAATCGAACAAGCCGGATTTCGCCCTGGCAGAAGCTGCACGGATAAAATTGCAGCTCTCACCACCTACATTGAAAAAGGGTTCCAAAATAAGAAAAAGACAACAGCCGCGTTTATTGATCTAACAGCTGCGTATGACACAGTATGGAGGGAAGGTCTATTGTTCAAACTTCTGAAAACTACCAAATGTCTGACGTTCCACAATCTTTTAAATGAAATGCTAACGAATCGATATTTTCAAGTCCATTTAGGAGCCTCCCAAAGCTCGACGAAACAACTAAATAATGGACTACCCCAGGGATCAGTACTGGCACCGACTCTGTTTAACCTTTACATCAGTGATTTACCGAGCACAATCTCTCGAAAATTTGCTTACGCAGACGACATTACGGTAGCTACACAACATGAAAAATTCGAAAATAATGAAACCATACTCAATCAAGATCTAGAAAAACTTAGAAAATACTTCCAACAGTGGCGCCTTAAACCAAACATACAAAAAACAGAAGTTTCAATATTCCATTTAAACAACAAATTAGCAAAACACCAACCAATTATCACATTTGGAAATCAAATACTAGCATATAACCCTACCCCTAAATATCTCGGAGTTACACTTGATAGAACACTCACGTACAAAAATCACCTACAAAACACCGCTGCAAAAATAAGGACAAGGAACAACATCATTCAGAAGCTCGCTGGCTCAACTTGGGGAGCCTCAACCGAAACCCTTCGGACATCTGCTCTAGCTCTGGTCTACTCAGCCGCAGAATATGCTGCCCCTGTATGGCTAAATAGCGCACATTGTTCAAAAATCGATGTACAACTTAACTCAACCATGCGTGTCATCACAGGTGTAGTTAAAACTACCCCCACAGAGTGGCTTCCAGTGTTATGTAACATACATCCACCTCATATTCGACGCTTGACAGCTACAGCGAGAGAATGGTCTAAATATAAGTGCAATGAAAAACTCCCAATAAATAAAGATATACCTACGAATCACATTCTGAGACTCAAGTCGAGGAAACCTGTCTGTTTAACAGCGAAAGACCTCATTGAAAACAAATTCAACGGAGATAACGACTGGAGATCAAAATGGAATCTATCAAACCCCGACAGTCATCAACTAATCAATGACCCATGCTCCCAAGTACCAGGCTTCTCACTTAAGCGACGAGAATGGGTCACCTTGAACAGACTTCGAACCGGACACGGGAGATGCGGAGACAATTTATACAGATGGGGGTTGAAAGACTCCCCTGCTTGCGACTGTGGCCATTCACCTCAAACAATGGAACATATAATTAGACATTGCCCAATCCGAGCTTTCAATAAACCCATTGCCGACATCCACAACATTTCGAATGCAGCTCTAACCTGGCTGAGATCACTTGATATTCCCCTATAGAAAATCATCCTACCACATAGAAGTTACCATGCTACTATAATTGCTGACTAATTATATTATACTATATGTTTTATATTTTATTTTATTATTTTGTTCTATTTTTACAAAGTTTATTTGTTAATAATTTTATTGTGTTGTAATGCTTGTCTATAATACCATACGATAATAATAATAACAATGAATAACAATTATATTATCTACACTATTTGTCAAAATTAGTACACAATTGATTTTGGTGACATTTTGACAAAACACCATTTTTACGGCATATACATCGATTAGTGGTGCATTTAGTGATACAAGTACATTTAAAAAAACCTTGTCCATTTCCAATTTGATTGTTCTGTAGCTGCAGATCGTAGAGAAATTTGTTTTTCTTGAGGTACATCGCTTAAAGATATAATGTTTTCTGAACACGTAGTGAATTGGGAACGTGCATATAGCTGTTTTAAGATACCTATAATTTTAAAAGTTAAGGTATTATTTAAATGTAAAAAATATGTAACAAATCTTATACATACCACTTTTACATCCAAGTTGATAGAACCCGTCTTCAGTAATTTTGAGAACCACAGCAATTACCGATCGAGGATCTCCCCTCCCTCTATCAACATCAGGAATTTTAAGTTGAACTGTTGAACTTTCTTTTGCTTCTGGAAATTTAGCCTTTGATAAATTTTTCATTTTTTTCGCTTGCATTTCTAAGTTGTCACTTGCATTTTGTCGTTCTTCTATTTGTTTGCGTTTTCTATTTTCGGTTGATGGTATTTCTTGTAATATAGTGTGTGGCAATATACTTGATGTTAGGCCAGTTTTAGGGTCAGTTCCAAACATCGCATTGTATGGGCTTCGTTTCATTCCAGAATGATAGGCTTTATTTTTCATAAATTGAACGAATCTGAGTCCTTCACTTAAAAAGCACACAATGTGCTAGCATTGTCACTAGCTCACAGTACTGCAATCGGACAAAAAAATCGAAAAAACACCAAACACGAGTTCCTCCGCCCAGCATTATTAAAGTAGTTTTGCGCACATGTGTATAAACGTAAATGTTCATATGTTCATTATTTTGACTATGGACGCTTATACAAAAGTTATAATTGATTTAAGCTCACATTTTTTTTTCTAGTTTCACTAATAACAACTTAAGAGGAACCTTATACTAAATGTACAAGTTTTTAATCGAACAAATATCATTTTATTGACAATAATTAAAAAATACTAATACAAATTTAAATTTTCGTACGGTTTTAAATTGCTCAGAAGGAGCATATAGGTACTTTTAAAATTATATGATGTATAAAAAACCTTTTATAAGTACCAACAAAATTCAATTTTCTATCACAAACCACTCTCAAAGCTAATAGTTGAAAACATAGAAGCATTTTTGTGACTACTATTTGTGTATACATTTATAAATATTAAATAATGACACAAAATTGTAAAATCAAAATAGGCAATGCTCAAGGCTTTAGTGTTATTTAGAGAAATATAGTGAATTAATAGAAATAGATATTATGTCTGAAGTTAAATTTAAGTGGAATATTGTCAAAACGTTGCGTGTCAAATATTGTAAGTTAATACAATTTTGGCTCTCTGAAATAGAAATTAGGTATCTTCGTAAACGTTTTGGGTAGGTACACATTGTTTGATTTCGGTTACGATTAGTTACTGAACGTTTTCTAAATTTTGGAATAGGTCCAAAATTGATTCGAAATAGTCAGGTGTCCAACATCATGAACGTAAGATTTTAAGTTAAAATTTGATCGAAATTAGATGTTTAAAAGAAGAATATTGCTTATAGTTAAATGGTTGTAGTTTTAATATATTATTCGAAGGTACTTGAAACTTTTTAAGTGTATTGTTATATCATGGACACGCAATGATATTTTAAAAGCAATTTTCCTGCAAAAATTAATTCAGCCTATAGTTTTAAGCCACGTTTAATAACGATTATACATCTGTTTAAAATGCATTGAGTTTATACCATGTTTAATTTGTATACTAAATATTTATTCAGTTGATAAAAACAATTTGAGCACCAAGTAATATGAACTTTTTGCAAGAAACCTTGTTTTAAATTTTCAATACTTAGATAGCTATAAAAATTGAACATATTTTTATACATATTCAAGTCCAGGGCTTGAAACCGATATTGGATACGGCAATATTTTGAATACTGGTTAAAGCCGTTAAAAACCAAAAACAAAATCGAAAAAAATAAATACTATTATCCATAACCGAACTCACATTCGAAAAAATATTTTCGGTTTCAAGACCTATTTTTAAATACAACAGAATTTAAAAAATATCAAAATGTCGATGAAATTCATTAAATTTTTAATTTTTGATGCTTAAAAAAAAATCCTGCATACGTATCTTCAATATGTTTCAACTGCTATTAAGAATATAATATATTATTATCTAAATATACAATTAAAATGTGTTCAAGTATATGCTTATATATAAATGTATACATTAATATTTTTAAATAAATAAATAATAATTATTGTCTATTGGTGATAAAAAATAAGGAATAACTAAATTCATATTTTGTTGGGATAAACCTTACAGAAATAATTTCTGTACGCAAAAACTCCCTCTGGGACTATAACATTTTCAAAATCCTGGAAAATTTATTAATTTTATGTACACATCATAACCATTCGGGTAAAATTGAGTATTTTTCATTTACACAAAAAACAAAAGAAATTTTAACATTTAAATATTTCTGAAAAACTTTTGATGGTTGAAAAAAAATAGGTATATTTTTATCTTCCTACAATATTATTAGTTCATCTTGTCTATTTACTACAAATTATGATATAATCATTATCACATAATAATTGACTAAAAAAATGTCAATGTGCAGAAGACTTCATGTATCCTCTAAAATCAAAAAATATCCATTTTTAAAAATATCTTTAGATATTAATGACATTTAAATCATTGTTAGTGCCTACATGGCTACATCATAATCTTGTTTAGAATTAAAATCTAATAAATAGCATAAGTATATTAGGTGTTTTCGAAGGTTGTAACTTGTAATAACATAATAATAACTAGTTTCGAATTTTAAATTAATTAAATACAATTTTAAAAATCACCGCTGATAAATATCACCACAATACAAAAATATAGTAGGTACTTACAAAATATGTAATCATTCTACATCAATTATCAATAAAATTATACGTACTTTGCAACCATTTTTCTTGTTTACCAGCAGAAGCAGGCATAACCCAACTTCCAATAGCTAGAATAATTGTAAACGTTATAAAAATATTCTCAATAGAAATCATTTTGATTTAGTATAAGAAAATAATAATAAATAATTTTAAAGTTGAACTTTTAATAAAATAAGATAATATTTCTCGTTTATTTTTATAAGCGATATAATCAGGAGCCACTACTGCAATCGACTGTCTACTCCTCAGCACAAAAAAAAATAATGTTTTCAATAAGTTGCTTATTTATTTATCATACCAGAGAATAATATTATTCTCCATATGTTGGAGTTCATACATGTGTGTATACTTCATAAACATTTTATTTTAATATGGAGTAAATAACACAACTTATAGGTACATATCTTGTACACCTGTATAATAGTAATCTATATTCACAGTAAAGGGGGTTCACATGACACGGTGTAGTGACCCCCCCCCCCCTCAAGTCTGGGCCCAATATCTATCGATGTACCACATCACATATTGTGTCTTCTCGAACGATCGTTATAATGAAATTTGTTTCTTAAGAATTTTAAATACTTATGAAGTTATAAAATATAATATGCATATTATATCGTAATAGAGTATTGCTGTGACCACTACAATCAATCTTCTTTAATTGTGTCATGCTGACAATATTTTAATAAACAACTGCCTATGTCAAACTTTCTAAAAACATTCAAGGATGAAGGATATTATTCAAAAGTCAATAATATAAGTTATAACTTATAAAAAACATGAAATCAAATTGATATCAAATCTGTAACCAATCAGCTGTAGCCCCCTACTTTCATACAATTTGTTTGAATAGCCTCCCCCTCACACAGGCGCGGATCTAGAAATGAAAAAAGGGGGGGCTTAACAAAAAAATGTACTTAAAGTATATAAAAGCATGGGCATTTAGTTTAAGTTTTTTTATTCATTATATATGCTTATTTTAAGAGATTATTTAATAATTATTAATAACAAAATTTAATAAATATAACAAATTAAATTGACCAATCCTCCGTTTTTATTCTTCTAGATGATCTTGAAAATATATTAATTACTTCATCAATATTTATAGGTATGTTTTTATGAATGTTTAAAATAGCTAAACCGTTTAAACGCTCCTGTCCCATGGTTGACCTCAAATAATTTTTTAGGCGTCTTAATGAAGAGAAACTTCTTTCTGCACTAGCTGTAGTAACTGGTATGGTAGCCAATAAATGTAATAATGTTTTAATGATAGGAAAAAATTCATCACAGTGTTTTAATGTTTCGATCACCGTATCGGGTTTCATAGTTTGAATATTGTGCCACTCTTTCTTCCAGATTGATATTTCTGATTGTATATCCAATTTTTGACCTGACCAATCTTCACTATATATCATCGCAGCTTTAATAATATTTGATTCATCATATTTATCAATATGTGTAGGAATCAATCCTTCTAAAGGCATTACTTCACTTAACTTTTCATTGAACCTTAATTTTAGTTCGGAAATTAAATGATCAATAAAAGGTAAAAAAATGGTTATCCTATACCATTCTATTGGATCAGTCGTTTGAATATTACATCGTGTTGTTTGACGTCCACATAAACGAGGTATTCTGATTTCCTCACCAACAAGAGCTGCCATATCAGAAGCATTTTTAAAATATGTTTCGAATTTGGATACAGAATTTTCTCTAATATCATCCATAACATCAATTACATTCTTAACATGAGAAAAAGCTTTAGATAACTCCAATTTAGGGCTTTGTAGTACTAAGCTTAACGTTTTTGTATGAGAAAATAAGTTAGCTACAATTTCTAAAGATATTAAAAATTCACTTCGTTTAATACTTGCACTGAAACCAATTGATTTACATGCAGTCTCAGAGTCAGGCATCTTTTCCAGTTCTTCTAAAGTTAAAATAATATATGAATAAAGTTCTCGGAAAGTTAGAATAGAATCATGTCGTTCAACCCACCGGGTAGCACACAAGGCTTTAAGTTTTGTTTTTAAGGGGGCTGATATTGAATCATCTTTTGAAATAATATCCAACATAATATTTGTTCTTTTGGCAGATGTAGATAAAAAAACAGATACAGTGCCAATAATACCAACCAAATTTCTAATAGCTTGTACTTCGCATGCTTTGGAAATACATAAATTCAATTGGTGATTGAAACAATGGGTATATACTGCCAAAGGCTGATCTTCTAAAATAAGTGCCTGTACACCATTTTTTCTACCAGACATATTTGAGCCACCATCGTATCCTTGGCCACGAAGATTCTTTAAGCTTAATTTATAGCACTCAATTTGTTTGATTATAGTATCTCTTATAGCAGATCCAGTTGTCGAACCTAACTCAATAAATCCAAGGAACTCTTCTTTGATTTGAATCTCCTCCATGTCAACGTATCTAAAATAAATTGATATTTATATGATATTTTGTATTTATATGAATTTGTACATTGTACCTGACTGAAAAAGTCATTTGTTCTTTTGTGCTGATATCTGTAGTATCGTCACATAATATAGAAAAGTACTTGTTTTTTGTTACATTGATTATAATTTTCTCAATAATGACTTTATACAAAATGTCAATTATTTCATTTTGAATAGTTTTACTAATCATAGTTGTTAGAGGGCCTCACATATGTTTAAGAAAATAAAAAAAATATTTCTTTGGTCCATGAAACATTGAAACTTACTGCAAAAACAATTTGTATAGCCGTACAGAAACCGAACCCTAAAATAAAACATCGGCATCAGAATACCTACTAAACTTATGGGGGACCCTAACCTTAGTTAAATCAACCCAGTCTAAACACATTATCAATGTTATTATATTGTGAATCTTTAAATATTAATAAAATGTCGGAACGATTCTGGTTTAGCAACTTTCGATTTTTAAAATTTTTTTTTTTCAAAATGTGTATTAAAGGGTGCCTCTGAAGAATGTAAAAAAAAAGTAAAGTCCGGACAAACTTCTTTTTGAAGTTATTGATGAAAAACTTCAAAAATTTAATTGTTTTCGTAACGCGAATTTTTAAAAAAAAAAATACCTAGAAATTAGAATTGAACATCGCTCCGACTATAAAATCGAAAATATTCCCCGATTTGCTAATCGTATGTAAAACCACCTTGGGCAGATCTCATAATTAAACAAAGATGTTAAAAAGCAAACAATGTGCTAGCAGCGTTGCCACTCGCTCGCTGCACTGCGCTGCGCTACGACATAAAAATCGAAAAAACACCAAACACGAGTTCCTCCCCGCATCATTATTAAAGTAGTGTTGCGCACATGCGTATACATGGGCGCCGACTATTGGGGTGCTGCGGTGCTTGAGCACCCCATGGTTAATTACATGGGGTGCTGAGCACCCCATGAAATAAATAAAACTTCTAAATATTTAATACGTTAATATTATACATTTATAATACATGTAGAAATGATAATTTTCAAATAATATAATATGTTTTGGGTTTTTTTGTTATTTTGGTCGTGCCGCTGACGACGACTGAGGCGATAACGATATTATATTTAGTTACCTACCTATTTCTGTAGAGTGTAGAGCACTAAAGTGTAGACCGTAGTAATTAGTCTGCGTTCGGTCAGCGCGTCAGTCCGTCGTAGTGTAAAGTGTTGTACCTTGTACTGTTTATAATATTATTACAGTTATTTTTATATATTTAAATATATCAAGATGACAAGATGGATAAGTGGTTAATAAAAAAATCAGTTAAAGGTACACATCATAAGCATTTGGGTAAAATTGAGTAATTTTCATTTACTCAAAAAACAAAAGAAATCATAACATTTAAATATTTCTGAAAACTTTCGATGGTTGAATAAAATTAATTATAATAAATAGGTATATTTTGAATTTTCATCTTCCTACAAACATTAATGAAACTACAATAACATACCCAATAATGTGACTGTGCAATGTACTTCTACTGACAGTTAGTGCCATCTATCGTCGACTTCTCATGTTTTATTAAACCGTGCTAAAAACAGTAATTGTATTTTACGATGTCTTTCTCTCATAGTAGTAATATGACCACTAGGTCGAGCTAGTAAATTGTCATAAGCACTTTCTCCTGCCACAAAAAACATTATTCGACTTGCAACCATTCTATATTTATATCTTAAGAGGACGCCGAACCCAAAAATGTTGCCTCTATCTTACACATGTACGGCATACCAAATTTTCGTTCACCAGTTTCAATAGTGTGCTGTTAGTTTTGATATTAGAGTATAATTGACCTATTATCAAACTTTAAGGTAAGGAATGTTCTCTCATGTCATATAATTTTTTAATACTATATTAATACCTATTACCTAATATTGAATAATATGTTTTCAACATTTTTATCAAATACTTTGAACTTATTAAAATTTTTTAGAGAATTTGATTTTATATCGAACATGGAAGATTATTATTTCATCATGATATTTATTATTTGATATTTACTAATCATTAGAAAATTATAACTAAAATTTGTTAGTTAATCATATTATTGTGATTGGCTACACTGGTAAATTTTGGTAGCCCATTAACTGGTACCGTCACCCGATATTCGAGATGAACTGGATGAGTTATATTATTACTTTTTAGTTTTTATACTAGATTTTAAAAAAAAAATGTTTGGAGATCAGAGGTGCTATACAAGAACGAAGAACCCATAAAAAATTATAATTTTATATTTTAACACACAATAGTATCTATAATATAAACATAAAATAATGTAAATCAATTGTAACACTTTGGTTACTGAACTGTGGTAAGTGGTAACTGCTACTCAAGTAATATTTACTTATAAATTATGATTCAAATCTTACCTGTTTGCTAAATACTACTATAGCCTATAGGCTATATACTCTATAGCAGGGGTCTCCAAAGTCCAAACTAAGGCCCGCGAGCCGGATATGGCCCGCGAACAAGTTTTAACCGGCCCGTGGCCCGCATAGGACGCATAGGTAAATATCGATAAAAAAATTATTTCAAAAATGTATTTATATTATATTATATTATTTATACCTATTTATTTTTATTTAAGTATACGGTATAGTAAACAATATTTTATACAAAAATATAAAGTAACATATTATTTATATAGGTAGGTACCTAATATATTATCATAAAATTAAAAATTATATGTGTTAATAAACTTTTGGCCCGCTAGGAGCATTTGATTTTTTTTTGTGGCCCTTGTATAAAAAAGTTTGGAGACCCCTGCTCTATAGCATAGAATATATAAATTAAACAGCTCAAAAAGAATCAAAATATGTTCAAAATTGTTTGGTGGATGGGAAATGCTAATATAAACAACCGGTGAAATTTTCATGTATCTATAGTTATTCGTTTTCGAATTACAACAAAATAAGGAAATCACTACATGAGAAATCGAGTGAATATCCAATGTTGTAAAAAGTTGAATTTCAAACGCTCATAAAAATTTAATTTGACTTCTTAGACATTTTTTTTTGATAAAGGTAGATAATTTTTTAAGGATTCTTGTATTACATTTTAAAATCTTAGATTTAAAAAGAAAAATTTTTACGAATTCTTAACTCAAAATAATTTGTTAATTTTCGTGATTTTTCCATATTTTGTAAATGTTTGAACTTTAAATGCTTATAAAAAAAACTGTGACTAAGGATTTTTAATATTTTTCATCTGCCTTTAAAACAATATACTAGGATCCTTCTGTTAAATTTTCAAGCTTTTTTAACTATTAGGAAATTCAAAATTTGACCTCCCGAATGCACCAACTATAGATTCACTTTCCCATCGAACAAGATACTGTTGAAGAAAATCGAAGTGGTTTTACTTCCCTAAACCGTGATGAGAGACACAAAAATAAAAAAATTCAAAAAAAAAAAAACACACATCATTGTAAAATCAATACATTCATCGTTTCACTCAGAATCTAAAACAAATTTTATGAAATAAATAATATTATAACAACTAATTGCACATTTATTAATATTATTAATTATTAGCAACAACCACTAACTATAATAGTAGATTTAGATAGAGCACCTGCCATAATACCTAGTTAATATTTCATAGTTGTTATGAATAGAGACGGTAATGAAATCAATTGAAATGCCTCAAAAATCGAAGAAAGTTCCCTAAAAATGCTGAGTAAAATAATGCAAATATTATTAGGTGTATAAGATGCACCATATTTTTTAACACTTTGAAAATCTAAAAATTTTAAATACGTAGTTACAATGAAGTATACACTATAGAAGCACCTAATTGGTGAAGTAAATTTAATAACTCTAATTGGGCTATTATGAGAAACCAACATTTATTTTAATTTCAAATGGTTTATAAGTCATAACGTTTTACAAAATATTCAACATTTCAACGTTTTGTTCATATTATGTTATATCGATAGAAATAATACCTGTTTTTAATGCATGACGACTTAATTACCCACACAATAATATAATATCATATTATTTACATACGTCATTATGAACATTGTGTGCACATAGGTATTATGCAGTATCGCTGCTTATTTTATGTAAGTTTTTATTCAATTATAATATTGTAAAGGCATACAATAATTAATATAAATTATATAATATTTTGTGTACACCACTACCTACACAGTTGTTAATTTCATTTACCGTTGAGATATTTGTCATCGATACCCTTTATTCGTCAATCGCCGTAATGTATACGATATGCCTGGGCATCAATAACATTTAACTGGCACTTTATCTGACTATTTTTTTTTCTCACGATTCCCAATCGATTACTATCTGCATTTGTTAACATTGTAAACGCGTTGTACGAACCTCCCATGTAGGTCCCCGGATATATACCTATTGGATTCTTTTCCACACAATATTACACAGGTACACGCTCGGGCATTTATAATTAATAAAAAACAAAACGTTAAACCACTACGATAGGAGTAGGTATTAACATAATGCCAGCTATAATAGTATAGGTATAGGTACAACGTTTTTAGACACTATTTGTTAATTAATTAATTACCGCCGTGTTGTTGGCGACTAGTCTTGGATAGATATTTATTTTTGTGCGCCGTTCCGTGGATCGTGATGTTGTTTTTTCCCTTTGTTTTTTACTATTATTATTGTTACTGTTTAATATATTTCTTATTCTTATATTATTATTATTTTTTTTTTTATTAAATCTCGATTTTATCAGCGAACACGCTACACATACACGCCGTGTATTTTCGAGGTGACAATAATTGAATCCCAACGACCACACACATTGTTCTGCATTCTATTAACGATCAGAAACAGTAGCGCGTACGGAATCGCAACCCTCCCGAGTCATTTGGAAATGCAAATTTCGAAATACCACAACGGTCGATTGAAATCAGTAGGAAGGCGTGCTTAAGCAAAATAATATGATGATGTATAGTGGTGATTAGAATATAGTATGACGTACCTATTATAATATTATAACGTTTCTGTTTTTTTTTTAAGCCTATATATTATAATTTTCGAAATTTAATGTGTATAGGCACTTGTATTCATCAAACTGTTTATGACTATTATATTATTTTGGTAGATACTCTAACTACTCGAAAACTCATGTTATTTAACGCAAATTTATTATATTAAAAATATATTTAAAA